CAGCCTCCTGATTAGCTAGGATTACAGGCATCAGCCACTGGCACCTGGCTTTCCCCCTCAAGTCTTATGTTGAAGTTTTATCTTCTAGTATGTCAGAATGTGATTCTATCTGGAGATTTTTTTGTTTTGTTTTGTTTCTGAGTCCTGGGGCTTGAACTCAGGACCTGAGCACTGTCCCTGAGCTTCTTTTGCTCAAGGCTAGGACTTGAGCCACAGTGCCACTTCTGGCTTTTACTTTTTATGTGGTACTGAGGAATTGAACCCAAGGTTTCATGCAGGCTAGGCAAGCACTCTACCACTAATCTACATTCCCAGTCCTTTTTTTTTTTGTCAGTCCTAGGGCTTGGACACAGGGTCTAAGCCTTTCTGTACTCAAGGGTGGTGTTCTACCATTTGAGCCACAGCACCACTTCTGGTTTTTTCTGAGTAGTTTACTAGAGATAAGTTTCATGGACTTTCCTGCAAGTCCTGCTCTGGCTGGCTTTGAACTGAGATCCTCAGATCTTAGCCTCCTGAGTAGCTAGGATTACAGGTGTGAGTCACCATCTCTGGCTAGAGGTAAGTTCTTTAAGTGAGATAATTTAGGTAAAAAAGTATCATCGGTATGTGCCTGGAATCAACATGGTTGGGGTAATAGGAAGGGGAGATTAGAGCCCCGGTGTTCAGGAGATAAAACAAGGAGGATTTCAATTCAAGGCCAGTCTAAGTTCATAAGACCCCTTTCTCAACTAATAACTGATCTGTCATCCCAGCTATGAGAAACAAAATCAGGATGTGGTCCAAGCCTGTGCCCAAGGCAAAAGGTGAGATGTTATCTCAAAATAACCAGTAAAAAATAGAGGTAGAGGGCATAGTTAGTGGTCATAGTGCCTATCAAGCAAGCACTGAGGCCCCAGTACTGAGAGAGAGACAGAGACAGAGACAGAGACAGAGAGACAGAGATAATCATGTAAAAAACATGGGGGACAGACAGTCATCTACAAGCCAGCAGAGAGAGACCTCAGGAAAACCAACATTGCCCACACTCTGATGTTAAACTTATAAATTCCATACTGTGATGAAAACACCCCTGATTTGCACATTGGCCTGTAATATTTGTCCCCATGGCCTCCCTGAAGCCCCAGCAAACAAACACAGCCATCTTTGGTCCACCCCTCCTTCCCTTCCCTCCTGTCCATGGCAGCAATGTGAATAGCTATTTACATGTACCTATTCTAACTGCAAAATTCACCTGCAGTTCTATGGCTGTGATCTTCCCACTTCTCTCATTATAGAGAAGTCTGTCCTGATGGAGTACCTGTTAGTCACTTGTCCCCCAGTGACTGCAGAGAGTAGAGCACACCCCGTCGGTGGTAAGCACATGGGTTGTTGATACATTAGCTTATGCTGATGGACACTAGAAGAAACAGCTTTATTTGCCAGGTGTGTGTGCTGCATCAGTTTTGCTGTTCATAAAAGTGACGCCCATGAGGCCACGATGAGGGCTCAGGCCTTGAGCAAAGCACTAGGTGTATATTCTCCTCACTCCCCCACTCCTGACTATCTGTCCAAGGTTGGGCAAGGAGGCCAGGTGCAACCAAGCTTAAGTCCACTTAGAATCCATAGACCATGAAAGCCTAAGACCCCAAAGCCTAAGCCTTCATACACAAAACCTGTAGTGAGCATATGAATGCTTATCACTACAATGTGGTTAATCTACAGCACTTTACATGTCCAACATTTACCCTACATTCAGCTAGTCTGGGTGCTTGTAAACTCCTGGAATCACAAGCAAACACAATTCACCCCTGCAGTATTGCTGTGGTTTGGTCTGAGTTTCCTAAAGCTCATGTAGTTTAGTCCTCATCCAGGAGATGGTAGGCCCTTAACAGGTGGAGACCAGTGGAGGTTTTACATCACAGAAGTTGTGTCTTTGAAGGGGCCATTGGGACCTCAGCCTCTTCTTCCTCTTTTTCTCATCCCAGATGTGAGGGGGATCATTGGCCAGGTGCTGCTTCTGTGATGTATGTGCTGCTGCTCCACAGGCCCAGAAGTAACAGCCAATCAATTGTGGGGGGATAGGGGAAGAAAAACTTTCCTCTTCATTAGCTGGTTATCTCAATCGTTATAGTAACAGAAAGTTAATGAAAGTACTTGTGTGACTTTTTTACATGTTGACATCTTTAATCCATCTGAAGGGGCCCTAGCAAAAGCTGAAATAGAGACCCAATTCTACACGTTTCCCAGATGGGCAACCAGCTGTTTTAACTGTTTGTACTTAAGTCTTTTATCCCGTCAATTTGAAACAACACCTCTAGCACACACTACATCTCCAACTTACCTGACTCTAGAATAGCTTGTATTCACTATTGTTTATCTTTGCACACTAATATGCAAGGACTTCAAACATTGTAGCTTTATAAAAATACCAATGTCTCACAGGAACTTTATCCTCAGTACTTTGTGATTTAAGGTTTTCCTTGGAGACAGTTACTTTAAAAACCCTTGGCAGGCTGGAAAAGTGCTCAGTGGTAGAGTGCTTGCTTCACATGCATGAGGCCCTGCGTTCCATTCCTCAGCACCACATGAGCAGAAAAAGCCACAAGAGGCACTGTGGCTCAAGTGGTAGAGTGCTAGCCTTGAGCTGAAGAGCTGAGGGACAGCCCCCAGGCCCAGAGTTCAAGCCCCACAACCAGCCAAAAACAAAACAAAACCTTGGCTAGTGCCTATGTGCTATTTTCAGGAAACAAAATCTCTGGATATTTTCAAGGGAAGGGAGGGAGGGAGACTAATCTGCAAGGCAGACCTTCCATCCTGACCAGCCTGAGCTTGTCCTGCAAACTGCCAGGCTCTCAGCTGCAGCTTATCCAAGATGCCTGCCCTACGTGCAGGTGCCAACAGGACAAATGACCCAAGCCCTCTCACACAGGCTGTGCACCACACGGAGGCTTCTCTCCCAAAGAGTAGAAAAAAATCTGGGTCATCCCCTGTGCCTGAAGCAACTTTGTAATGGTCTGAAAGGCCACAGTCCCCTCCTCCTATACCACCTGCATAGGCAACCTGGCTACCATTGCTGAGACCCAACCACAATGACTATCACCTAGACTCCCCCACAGGCTCTTCAACCTGCCTAAGCACAGAAGCCACCCTGATGGCCCTGAGACATAGTGGACCACACCTCAAGTCTCCAGGAGATGCCCAGGCTGGAGAGATCAGCCGGGGAAAAGCAATATCAAGCTTAAAGGATTCACTACATGTCCACCAGACACCCTGGGATTCCCACATCTGAACTGAGACTGCCCTCAACTTCTCACTTTGCTATCAGCTTCCTAAAAATAGCTTCCCAGTTGTTGCATACACAGATACTTATGCTTTGAAATACTTCACAAAAGCAAATAAAACTGGACCCAGAGCCTTTTCTAATTAATTATGTCACCAAATAAAACAACTCCAACCATTTCTCTTTTCCTAAAAAAAATATCTTACCTGAGGTTTTCTTATCACTTTTTTTTTTCCTAAACTGGTTATATTTGCAAGGCATGTTTTCATTTTTTTTTCTTCCAAGTTGCCAGAATGGAGTCTTCTTTTATTAATGTTACAAATGAAAAACTGCAAAGGAGTCTGATATTCCTGTGAATGGTCCCCTAAGTAGGCACTCACTGTAGTGGACAGCTGTATTTCCCCATCCTCAAGTAAACTTGGTTAAAGGGAGCTTCCCCACTGAGCTCCTCATTAAAACCCCTGCTAGTACAAAACTGGTCTTTCTTCATTCCAGCTCCTGGCCTTCAGCCTTGAAGCTCTGAGCTGCAGCCTCACTTCATCCACAGCTCCCAACAGCCAGTTCTCAAGACCACCCCACACCTGCAGAGGCTCCATCCCCACCCCATTAGCCCCAACTCCTTCCACCAGACCCTTAGGTCCCCACAGGAGCCACAACTGTGACACAAACCCAGAGTTCTTGACAGATGGGTGCTGAGCTCCCACCCACACAGGACTCTTACTTTGTCAGCAACCACCAAACACTCAACAGTTTCAATGCATGTTTAATGAGCACCAATTGTATACCAAGAACACACAGCTAAGACAGAGCCTTGACCTCAAGGCTCATGGTCTTCCAGAAAATATAAGCTGTTTACATCATAGGGGCTTTAAGTGCTAAATGGACTGCCTGAGTGAACAGGGGAAGGCAGGCCCAGGATAGGAAGGGAGAGGGCAGCACCACAACTTAAGATATGCAAATATGAGAATGTTACAAGACAGAGGATGCCTGCAGTTGAGCCTGAGGTCTTGAATTCAACCATTCTGTACTTCCAAACCTCTCAGCCACCAGGACTGCTGGTAAGCCCACAGGTTAGCAGAGTTCTCAACCAAGATGCCACCCTACTCAAGAAAGTGGCTGCTTCTGTGCTGCCTGCAAGAAATGTAATCGACCAATGTGTCGAGTGATGGATGGGTGGTTAACGAAAATGCAGTAGATTCAGGCAATAGAGTATTATTCAGCCATAAAAACTGAAGTATAGCAACAGGGACAGAACAGAAGACCACTGTTAAGTGAAATAAGTCAGAACCAAGAAAACTAGTACCATATATTCTCACATACGTGCAAAAGCTAAAATAACTGGTCTCACTAGAAGTTAGGATGGGTAAGGTTGGGACATCATATGAAGGTTAGAAAACAGGTACCAAAATACTGTTAGATAAGAGTAAGTTCTAGTGTTCTACAACAGTAGGGAGATTATAGTTTACAATCATGTTATATAAAAGAACTAAAAGAAAGGAGTTTGAGCATTCCCAAGATAAAAATGATAGAGAATGCCAACCATCCTGATCTATATATGTGTTTCAAATTATCATTGCATCCCATAATTATGAAATTTTAAAAATGATATAAAAAGCCAGCCCAGGCAGGAAAGCCCATGAGATTCATCTCCAAATTAATCACAGAAAAAGCCAGAAGTGTTGTGGCTCAAGTGGTAAGGTACTAGCCTTGAACAAAAACGAGTTCAGGGACAGCACCCAAACCCAGTGTTTGGGCCCCAGGACTGGCAAAAAAAAAAAAAAAAAAGTACACAGCATGCCTTCTCCTTGCACTTCAGCCTGAAGGCCAGAGGTCACAGGGACAAGGATGCTGGAGTAGAAAAGAAAAGCAAGTATCATACAAGGAGCAGGTTCTGTCAAGAGCAAGCAAAGCAAACCACTGACTAATATTGACCAGCCAGTGTGGAGAAACACTAAGGAAAGTGTTCTGCACAAGCAGTAGGTGACAAATTACCCCATAGGGCTGACCTACAAAACTATTCTGTGGGAACCAGTCCAGTGAAATGGCACTTCCAGGTAAGTGGTGACGTAGCCAGAAGCCAGCACCATTGGAGGATGAGGACATAGGTGCACATTCTTCTGGGGGCTTAGGAAAATTGCTTTTCAGACAGGATGTACTCCAGAACAGATGTACCTTCTCACACTGCTGGGACATCACTTGGATTCATCTGGGGGCACCACTCTGTCCCATAGGGTCTTGGGGTTGGTCTGTCATACATGTCACTTCATCACAAGGGGCACTGTTGCACCTGTCTGGATCATGTTCAGAAGCCAAGGATTTAAGATGTACAACAGGTGGTTCTTTTGGGCTCTCTGGGACATCTGCCACCTCCTGTGAGGTACCCAGGGACACTCGCTGGTCTCCCTTTGTCTCAGAAATCTCCTCCTCTGCTTTCTGGGGTTCTGAATCCCCTAGGGAAGCTACATCTAGCTTCTGGGCTTCTGAAGGTTTAGGGACAGGTTTGGGGGCTGCCTCTTCTGTGTGGGAGGCAGCTGGCCCCACAGAATCAGAATCAGGGCCACATACAGAACTGGCCTGGGTAGGAGGTTCTTGGGACACAGGGGCACTCTCTTTGGGCAGCTGCCGCACAGGCTGAGCATTTCCAGATGTAGTGTTAGTCCCAGCTGCTTCAGCTGGGACTGGCCTGGGAGCAGTGCCCATATTGAGTGCCAGGGTCTCCGAGAACCTAGCTAAGTATTGCCTCACCAGAGGCAGCTGTGGGGCCACTGGTGGCTGGCTAGATGCTGGGGGCAGAGGGCAGGGCACTGCAGCATGGTACTCAGCAAAATTGACTGGGTCTTGAATAACCTCCTCAAGATCCTGGCAGAAGAACTCATAATTGTCAGGTAAGGGCAGGTCCCCATTCAGGTAGGGTGCTGCCCAAGCCCGGGCTCGACCAGTCAAGCGTCCAAGGATCTCACAGACACGACTAAGGTGGTCCTGGTAGTGCTCAAAGCGGAAGGACATGTAATCACCCAGCTGAGCCAAAAAGCGATCCAGTAGCCATGGAGAGCCATCAAATGTGCCTGGGTCTGAGCCAGGCACCCAATGGAAGTCCATCCTGAGAGGCCACGGGCCAGGCATGCGTCCAGCCAGTGGGCCCCTTTCTGTGGGTTTACCACCTGCAGAAGCACTAGCTGTGTTGTTCTGCTCCATGGTCATGCGCACGCACACAGGATCCCCACAGCAGGGCCGCTCAATCCAGGGGTCCACAAGAGGGGTGTACTCCACCCCAGGAGAGGCCTGGTCCATCTGCTGCCAAGGGTGTGCATTGGCATAATTGGCGGCCGCCCGAATGGGATTGCGAGGGCCCTGCCGAGGGCGCCTGCCACGAGGCATGCTAGAAGAGGGGAGAAGGAAGAGCAGGCACAAGGGGTGGTGTGGATAGAGGGCGGACGCACAACGCAACAGGACAAGGATCAGCTGGAGAAGGTGTGGCAGACCCGGTGGTTCCAGGCAAGTGCTCAGGACCAGGGGAGCTGACAGCCGTGGCCTCAGGAGAGCTGAGAAGAGCCGAGGGGAATGTCAGATGCAGGCCATCATCCAAGGCGATCTGTCCAAAAACAAGGTGGGGAAGAGCAGGAACTAGGCCCAACCATCACCATCAGGTTTCACTCAAGATGGTAACAAGCAGGTAAATTCCTGGTACCCAATTAAAGAGCTCCAAATAGAAAAAAGGCCCAGGGAACTGGCCTGGGAGGTCTAAAAAGCAGACAAATGCTGCCTGTGACTTTCAAGGCAAAGATGTATCAACAGATGCTATCCATCCCAGGAGAAGAAAAAGAGGACAGATCAGAGCTTCCAGGGAATTTCAGGACAATGATAGCAGCACCACTCGTGCCAAACCAACCAGTCCACACATCCTACACGAGGCTGGTATTATTGTGTGTGTTCATGGTATTGGGGCCTGAACTCAGGGCTTTGTGCTTGCAAGGCTACTGTTATACCACTTGAGCTATGCCTCCAACCCTGCCTTTTGCTGATTACTTTGGAGATTCTTGTCTGAACTGGCTTCAAACTGCAATCTTCCAGATTTCAGCCTCCTGAGTAGATAGAATTACAGGTGTGAACTGCTGGCATTTGGCCAGGAAATTGGTACTATTGTCACTAAGGCAGAGTGATGAAGTGATCTGTCTGCATTCCTACACAAACTGCTAAATGTCAGAGGCAGCAAACCTAGCTGAAGAGATTACAGGCTTAATCACATAACTGTGGCTCCCCTTCACAGTCAGGCTCTTATGCTCCCCACTGCAAACCACTACATACCCAGAGTATGTCAAAAGATTCTTATACATCCCAGCACCTGATAAGCAGAGTGCCTGGATGTTATCAGTTCTCTCTCTGCTCTGCTCTGGAGCTTGCACTGCAGGCAACAGCATCCCCCCTCTGAAAACAACTCTACATTCCCCATCCCAGTTAATTGCACCTTAATCCCCAAACATAGAAATCCTATAAATCCACTTGCTATGTCCACTCCTGCCACCCTAGTCACCTGTTTCCAGGGTCTGGAGAATCCCAGTGGGATGTCTGAACCCCCACTCCAAGCAGTGGTCTCTTCCAGGCTTGGGAAGTCTGGGTCTGAAGCTTTCACATCCAGCCTCAACATTCCCCAGACTCCTAAGAGAAAGGCCCCACTCAGGACCTACACAAACTCTCTGCTTCACCCTGACCTCACAACTCACTTTTCCCTTGCTCACACCTACCTAAGGAGCACCATGGCCTGAACACACCTTCACACCTGGCTTTCTGTGTTTACCACCACCAAAGACCTCTCAGGGTGGCTTGCAACACTCAAAGCTGCCAGGGCTACCCGCACCTATTTCTACCACCCAAGCATTCTGGAACATTCCCACTTCTGTCTAAACGGTCAGTCACTGAGCCTGGCTTCCCCATCCTACTATAATAAATACACTAGGATTGCACGATGTGGAGTCCACTCATGAAGCAGCCCTGATCCCTCACTGAATTCTATTGAAAAAGAAAAAAAAAAAGCAGCAGTATCTTCCATTTAGGCCCACCAAGGCTGCCCACAGAGCCTAAATCCTATGTCCAGTGTGCCGCTCAAATGGCTGTGCTTCTTCTCTTCTTCCTAGTCTTCATCTCCCAACCCCTCTAGGAACCTTGCTGTCACCCTGTCCATCCACCTGCACATATGAGCTCCTTGCAGCCTCCCTGTCCATCCACCTGCACATATGAGCTCCTTGCAGCCTCCCTGTCCATCCACCTGCACATATGAGCTCCTTGGAACTTTTGAGGAGAGAGAGTCCCCTGCACCAGCAAGCCAGTCACACTTCCATTTTAAATATTCATGCCCATAACCCTGGGCCAAACTCTCAGCATTTTGAGAACCTGGGCCATCCCAGGCCTCCCTGGCCTATGGGTCTGTTGGTCTCTTGCTTCTCTCCCCATTCTGCCTGGGCTCCGGGAAACCTCGATCCTTTTGATCCTTCTCCTGGACTGAACAGCGCTCTGTTCAGCGCTGGATCCGGGGCGCGCGTTTTTGCCTCCGAAAGCCAAAGGCAGTGCCCGTGGAATGCTGGAGCGTTGGCTGCTCGGAGGAGCCCCGGAAGGAGAACCCGTCCCAAGTTTCAAGAAAGTTCAGGGCAGACGACCGCATCGCCCGTCCGCCGCCCCCCCCCCGCCCGCCCGCAACCGCCAAGCAGGAAATAGGCGTTCACAAGTCCCAAGGCCAGAAAGCCCACCTACGTACCAGAGCACACTCAAGGCGCCCGCCGACAGCACCCGGGGGGAGACGAGCCTGACCAGCTTTCCTCAGAGGCCGCAAATCCAAGAACCGCCTAGAAAATGGAGAACGAAAGGGGCCTGAGCGAGACCAAATGTGGAGCGGGTGCGAGGTCCCCAGACGGCTGAAACAGCCCCCGCCTCCAGGCAAACCTCAATCCCCGCCACAGACCGCAGAGGCCCGCCGCTCCGAACACCCTTCTGCGGGCGAGGAGAAGGCAACGGATGGAAGGGCGCAGCGCGGAGCCAATGCACGCGGGGTTCCCGCTCCACTGACCCTTCTGCAGAAGTCCGCGACGCACGCTCCAACAGAAAGAGGGCCTAGGATGCTACAGCTTCCCTCGGCCACGCCCCCAGCGTGCGCGCGACCGCCCGCCTACGTCCCCTCGTAGGCTCGCGGCACACCCTACGCTGCCCGAACAGCTGGACCCAGCGCGCGCGCTCAGGCATCCGCGCCTGCGCAGTAAGGGGCGAGCCGTCAATCGCGCAAGCGCTCTCGGCCCTGCCAGCGCGGCAGCGCGGCGCGGGGGGCGATGGGAGTGAGCGCTCGGTTCCACGCAGTGCCAAGTGCCACGAGAGCAGTGAGGGCCGCGTGCGCAGGCGCGCGGCGTTTGGGCGGGAGCTGCCCAGTGGTGTAATTCCTCCCCAGCCAACACTGTCTGCTGCAGCCGAAGCTGGGCGTCTGGGGGTTCTTGGGCATCAGAAAGGCTGCTAGGGGGCTAGGATAAAGCAGAGGGAGCCCAGGGCACCAGAGAGGGCATAGAGGGGTTGCTTGCCAATTGGCCAACGAAGTGCCCCTGATGCGAACTTAGGCTTGAGTCTGTGTATCCATTCCAGACAAAGGGCAGGGAAGTCGCAAGCACCCTTCACTTGCAGGCCTTGGGGCTAAGGGCAGAGCCCCTAGGTTTCCTCATCGTGGGTTAGTGGGTGCTGGACTCAGAAAAGACAAAGAGGGTAGGTTACCAAGGCTTTCCCATAGGGCCATGCCCCGCCTGAGCCCAGTTAGCACCCAAACACTTTGCAACTCTGAAGAGAGATGAGATTGTAAGTTTGTGCATGGACAGCCCCCTATGCACAAGAAGAAGTGGGAGAGGTTGCCAGCCGCACAGCCCAGACCTAGTATGCATGGATGGCCAAGGATCTGGACACAAGCCAAGGGACCTTGGGCCAGGGTCAGCCGGATATGCTGGGAAATGATGCTTCTAAAGGCAAACACACACGTCATACACCAACTCCCTTTCTGTCCTGGTCTAGTGACTCCTTTCATGAAAGATCTCTGAAATGTTATCTGCATTTACACCCAAACTCACTTGCCTTGATCCCTGAAACGCAAATCAAAGATGGCATTGTACCTTCCCTGGGTCTGTAGGGCTTTCAGTGGTCTGGGCCAAAAATAATAAAAGTGGCACCCAGCCAAGAAACACCTCCTTGAAGTGTGAATGAGACTTGGATTTTTTGGTTGTATCTTTCCTAATTGACCTGATAATTTCAACTTCCTACCTCAAGGGAGAGTGGGGAGTTCCTGTGACTTCAACCTACCTCCTAGCTCTAGGAGGCTTCAGGCCAACTCAGAGCCAGTCAGGAGAGAGTGGGTGGCAAGTTTGTTCAAAAGACTATCCAAGGGCATCAGTGGCTCAGCCTGTAATCCTAGCTAATCAAGAGGAGGCTGAGATCTGAGATTCTCAGATCAAAGCCAGCCCAGACAGGAAAGTCCATGAGACTCTTATCTCCAATAAACCACTCAGAAAACCAGAGATGGTGCTGTGGCTCAAGTGGTAGAGCGCTTCAGCTCGCCTTGAGCTCAGCTGAAGAGCTGAGAGATAGCACCCAGGTCCAGAGTTCAAGTCCCACGACTGACAAAAAAAAAAAAAAGACCATCCAACTGAGCCCCCAAAAAGCCTTTTAAGTTTCAAATCATCTTTTGTTTTTCTGTCAGAGGTGGGGCTTGAACTCATGGCTATCGCTCTACCAATTTGAGCCACAGCAGGACTTCCAGTTTTCTGGTGGTTAATTGGAGATAAAAATCTCAAGGACTGGGCTGGGAAAGTGGCTCAGTGGTAGAGCGCTTGCCTTGCAATGCATGAGGCCTGGGTTCAATTCCTCAGCACCACATAAGCAAAAAGAAAAAAGCTGGAAGTGGTGCTGTGGCTCAGGTGGTAGAGCACTAGCCTTGAGCTGAAGAGCTGAGGGACAGCGCCCAGGCCCAGAGTTCAGGCCTCACGACCGGATCCAAAAAAAAAAAAAAAAAGAATCTCATGGACTGTTCTTCAGGGGCAGGCTTTGACCCGCAGTCCTCAACCTGAATAGCTAGGATTACAAGTGTGAGCCACCAGCACCTGACCTATTTTTTTAATATACATAATATAAAAACTAACCATATTGAATTGGGCACTAGTGGCTCACACCTGTAATCCTAGCTACTGAGCAAGCTGAGGATTTGAGAATCACTGTTCAAAGCCAGCTTGGACAGGAAAAATCTGTAATACTTTTTTTTTTTTTTAGTCAGTCATGGGGCTTGAACTCTGGGCCTAGGTGTTGTCCCTCAGCTCTTCAGCCCAAGGCTAACGCTCTACCACTTGAACCACTTCCGGTTTTCTGAGTGCTTTATTGGAGATGAGTCCCTCAGACTTTCCTGCTCAGGCTGGCTTTTGAACCATGATCCTCAGCTCTCAGCCTCCAGAGCAGTTAAGATTATAGGCGTGAGCCACCCATGCCTGGTTTGTAACACTGTTATCTATAATTAACCCCTTTTAAAAAAATGCCAGAAGTGGAGGTGGGGTTCAAGTGGTAGATTACCAACATTGAGCAAAAGAGCTTAGGGACAACACTCAGACCCTTAGTTCAAGCCCCAGAACTGGCAAATAAATAAATAAACAAATAACCATTGTCTAAATGTGTGATTTAGTGACATTAAATCCTATGGTGTGGTTGTATAGGTTTGTTTGTTTTTTTAATCACTCTAGAAACTGTAAGAGTTAAACACTAATTCCTCCTCCCCTCTGACATCTAGACCCTGCCATCTATCATTCTACTTTCTGACTCTGATTTAACTACCTCATATAGGTAGACCCTTACAATTTGGTCTTTTGTGACTATCACATTTCACATTGCATCATGTTTTAAAGGCTCATCTATGTTGTAGCATATATCAGAACTTCCTTTTGGTCAAGTGCTATAATTCTATCTATTCAGGAGGCTGAGATCTGAGGATTGAAATTCAAATCCAGCCCAGGCAGAAAACGCCCCAAAACTCTTATCTGCAATTAACTAGCAAAAAGCCAGAGCAGAGCTATGGTTCAAGTAGTCCAGTGCCAAAGAAACTAGGCAAAAAGCTCTACTAACGGCGCGCGCATGCGCGCGTGCACACACACACACACACACACGAGAGAGAGAGAGAGAGAGAGAGAGGAATTTATTTTTGAAAGCTGAAATAATATTCACATATATAACACATTTTATTCATAAGTATTACATATACAAATATTATCCATTCATCTTTCTATGATACAAGTTATTTCCACCTTTAAAAATTTTTTTTGGCAGTACTGGGTTTGAACTTAGGGCCTTACATTTCACAGATGGGCACTCCACCACTGCAGACACAGATACAGCCCCTTTTCCACCTTGGCACCATTGTGAGTAATGCTGCTGTGAACACTCTTACAAAGATCAGTTTAAGGCCTGATTCCATTCTTTAGTTACATGCCTAAAGTGCTAACTTTTACAGTAATTCTCTTTCACTTTTTGAGGAATTACCAAATGTTTTCCAGATTGGTTGCCTTGCTTTACATTCCCATCAACAGTGTGACAACTTCCCTAACATGTTTTGTTGTTCATGGGGCTTGAACTCAGGGCCTGGGCACTATTCTTGAGTTCTTTGGCTCAAGGCTCCGTTAGCCTTGAGCAAATGTGGAGCCCATATTTGACTGGTTAATTGGAGATAAGAGTCTCAGGTGCAGGCGAAAGCCTCTGAGAAACTCCACACCACAGGTGGGAATCCCTGCAAGAGAAAGACGACTGTCCTCAGCCTGCTCCACTTGCCATGCAGCCTTCCCAGTTAGTCCACTGCTATGGTCAGGGTCATGGCAATGGGAACTGGCCTTGGCCTCTGGCCATGGACTTCCACAACCTCAGATAGGCCTCCAAACACCCACTTCCATCCTGACTTCACAGGGCCCAGGCCTTTCTCTAAGTCTGTTATTGTTGTTCCCCTCGCTAAACCACTCTAGCAGAGCTCCAGCAGCTCTGAATTACCATGTCTAGCTCACCCCAGGCATGCACATTCTGTGTACCTGATAAACCTGTGTATAAGGAAATTTAAAAAAAAAAGTCTCATGGGGACTTTTCTGCCCAAGCTGGCTTCAAACTGTGATCCTCAGATCTCAGCCTCCTGAGTAGCTAGGATTACGGGCATGGACCACTGGCACCCAGCTTTTTTTTTTTGCTGGTCGTGGGGCTTGAACTCTGGGCCGGAGAGCTGTACCTCAGCTCTTCAGATAAAGGCTAGCGCTCTACCACTTGAGCCACAGCACCACTTCTGGCTTTTTCTGCTTATGTGGTGCTGAGGAATCGAACCCAGGGCCTCATGCCTGCAAGGCAAGCTCTCTACCACTGAGCCACCTTCCCAGCTATTTTTTTTTTGTTTTTAAGTAGTCACGCTATTAGATGTAATGTAGATCTCACTGTGATTTTGATTTGCATTTCACGAATAACTAGTGATATTGAACATCTTCCTGTTTGTTGGCTATTTTTATATTTGATATTTCATTGTAATGTCTAAGTCATGTGTGATTTTGTGTGTGTGTGTGTGTGTGTGTGTTACCAGGGTTTGAGCTCAGGGCAAGAATTTTATTTTTTTTTAATTTAATTTTGTTTTATTTGTGAACATACTGCACAGAGGGGTTACAATTACATGGGCAGGATAATGCGTACATTTCTTACCAAGCATTGCAGCCTCCTCCTTTGTTTACCCTTCACATCCAGGGCAAGAGTTTTATAACAAGAGCCATGCCCCAGTCCTTTTGCTTTGCATTTTCAGATAGAGTC